GATTCGTATTTTGTAAGTTTTATCGGATTCCGAGACGTGGGCCCCACGGGTATTTTTGGGGCGTAATTTCAGATTTTGTGAAAATATTAGCATTTTGATATGGAATTAATTCCTATGAATTGTGTAGACTAAATCAAATTAATTGTGGTAGATTCGAGCCATTCGGGAGTTGATACACGCATAATGGGATTTCTGGAGCATTGTTTAGCTTGCTCGACATTGGATTCGGCTTGTTCGAGGTAAGTAACTCTTCTAATCTTGGAGTTGAGGGTATGAACCCTGAATATATGTATTATGTAAATCGTTTGGAGGTGACGCACATCCTAGGTGACGGGCGTGTGGGCGTGCACTATAGAAATTGTGACATAATTGTTTATGTGGAGTTTTGTAGTTAAATAATCTTGGCATTTTCCATGCAGTTTTATGTGTTAAAGAAATTGAGCTGAAAAGCATATTAAAAATTATGTTGAGGCTATGTGCCAGTATTATTGGGACCCACAGAGGTCATATTGCTGTGAATTATTGTGTTAAATTGAAAATTCATACTCAGTCATATTCATTTCATTGCATATCATAACTCAGTTTTATGACTCTATTTTGATGCATATAAATATTTTGGGCCGAATGCCCTGTTTTACTGAGATGCCCGAGTGGCTTGAGAGGTTTATGATTGATTGAGGCCAAGGGCCTGATTTATGTTGCATATTCATGGGATCGGGCTGCACGCCGCAGCATGTTTGATGTCGGCCGAGGGCCTGATTGGTGAGGATGAGTGTGGATCGGGGCTGCCCGCCTGCAGCATACTTTATTATTATAGCACGTGAGTTGTCCGTGCAGATTATAGCGCTTGGGCTGAAGGAGCCCCTCCGGAGTCTGTACACACCCCCAGTGAGCGCAGGTACCTACTGAGTGCGAGTGCCGAGTGCTGAGTGACTGGGAGGCATGAGTGATTGTGAGGTATGCCCGAGTGGCAAGAGTGATTGTGAGGTATGCCCGAGTGGCACGAGTGACTGTGAGGTTTAGCCCGAGGGGCTATATATGAGTGATGTTATGCCCGAGGGGCTGTTTATGATTTTATCATTGAGTTGCATTGCATTGGCATGCACACATGACATACATGCATAGAGATGTATTTTTTCTCATGTTGTACAACATCACATCATTCATGATTTCTCACATGTGTTTTTGACAGATGGGCATAGTGATGCATTTGTTTTACACGGGTTATCCGGAAGGAAAATGAAACATCTTATTTATTATTGACAAGATTTTTGGGAGAAATTTATTATTTTCAAACTATTCATATTTTTGGCAACTCCAGCAAACGATTTGGGTTTTTACTGACATATTTGAATGAAAGAACTACCATTTTTTTAAATCATGATTTGGCTGGGTATTTTATCCCTGAGTTACTTCTGGTATTATTTGCTTTATGTTGTAATTGATTGTTGTGGACTATTGGTTTGGACCTGACCTTAGTGGAAGCTCGTCACTACTTTCAACCTACGGCTAGGTTTGTTACTTACTCAGTACATGGGGTCGGTTGTACTGTAACTACACTTCTGCACATTGCGTGCAGATGTCAGTTGTTGTTGTTATTGTGCTTGATGGTTGCGGGACTTGAAGATGTACCTGCATTCCTGTTGTAGCTGCCTTTTGTTTAGGGTAGCCTTAGATTTATAAAAACTCTGTTTATGTATTATTCAAACAGACTATGTATTTAATTCATTTCCGCTTTGTATATTCTATTCTTAGAAGCTCATGATTTATACTACCAGTTCTTGGGGATTGTACACGATTTAGACCTTTATTCACTTAAATTACTTTAATGATTATTATTGAAATCGGATAGTTAGTAATCGGCTTACCTAACGTGTTGGGTTAGGTGCCATCACGACTAGTTAAATTTTGGGTCGTGACAGCTACATATTCAGGTTTAAAGCCAGTGTTCGTTACCTTTGCGATGTTGAAGTTATCTCATATGGATCCTTTTGAATTTAGCTCTGGTGAAGCCTCAACCTCGTTTGCCCACGTCAATTTGCTTTGGCTGGACCCTAATTGAACCACATCCTTCCACTTCTGTTGAGATTTCGAAATTCCTTCCCCAATTACTGATATATGAGATCTAATTTAACTTGGAGTGGGTATTGTTCCATCAAATTCCTCAGTGATTGTTGCCCCTGTTACTGTTTCATCAGTTACACTAACTCCAATCGAGGTTGTTGGATCCATTCTTCCCTTCATTCGATCATCCTTTTTCCGTTGTTGGTTTGCGGTGGATTCCTGAGCTATAATTGCTTTCTGAGAGGGGTTCCTTGCTCTCTTCCCCATGGATGGCGCACGTTTAGGTAAACATGCGCTGAGAGAGAAAAAAGTCCTTCTCAAGAAATTACAAAAATTATTTTACTATGATATAGTTATCACAATAATCACTTTAACTATATTTTACAAACCTTTTACCTAAAAAGTCTATTTTACCCTTTACATTATAAATCCTCCCATTTATGTAATATCTTTTATATTATATGCTATATAATATGTTTTTACCCAAATATTTTACTTATAATTAAAATAACTTAATATTATTTTATTTATTATTTTTATAATATATTCGTACATTTAACTTTTCTTAATGTTAATTTTCAAGATATATAAGTAGCATTATTAAATTTATCAGTAACATTACCGTGAATAAATCTCAAGTCCACGTTCTTAATCATGCCTGATGAAATATGTTTAATAAAAATTAAAAAATCAAAGCTCGTTGATTTATCAGTCAAGCCATACCCATTAATTTAATAAATAAAATACTCACATTTAGCAAAATGACACATCAGATTAATACTTTCAAATATATAATATTAACGTATAAAGCTTTTAAATAACTTAATATTAAACACATATATCTTTGAAACTTCTTTTAAATTTTTTATTAACTATAAAAAAAACTATCATTTGTTAAACAAATCTTTTTTATTATTTTAAATAAATATTAAAAAATAAATATTTTTTATCATTTTTTATTTAAAATATGTTTATGTTTGAATATGACTAAACAAATTGAGTGCCATAAAAAAATTATATGTATGGATATATTATAAAAATAATTTAAAGTTATTTTAATTATAAGTAAAATACCTAGATAAAAATATATTATATAGTATATAATATAGAAGGTATTAGATAAATGAGAGAATTTATAATGTCAGTGACATAATAGACTTTTCAAGTAAAGGTATTATAAAATCTGGCCAAGGTGACTTTTGTGATAAATAGAGCAAAGTAAAATATTTTTTGTGTAACAAAAAAAAAGTGACTTTTGGGTAATGAATACAAAGTTGAATGATTTTTACCTAACAAAAAGAAGAAATGTGACTTTTGCATAATGAACACAAAGATGAATGACCACCCATGAAATTTACTCTAGTTTCTACTTATAACTAGCATATAAGTAAAAGGGAAAAGGGCCAAATATACCCCTATACTTTCATATATTGTCTACATTTAACCTCCGTTATACTATCAAGCCCCCTACTGTTATACTATCGGGCCAAATTTACCCCTACAATCAGTAAACTTTTAAAAATACCCTTGATCTGTTAAGTAATTCAAAATCTCCCAAATTCTTTTTATTTAATTCACTTGTTGTTCTTCTTGCTCCATTATTTTCAAAAATTACTATTGGTGTGAATACTAAAGTTACTAGACTATACAAATTTTTCAGAATTATTTTTAATTACCAATGCACCCATTTCTCTTCTTGTAATAAATAAAATTGGTTTAGAATTTTATTTATTTATCAATCATATACACACCGTAGAATTTAGTGGGTCTATATATTGTGTATTATATGCAACTGATCATCATGTATGTACATGTATATTCAAATATATTTTGTCATTGCCTGGTTAGTATAGAGTTCGATCGACTAACTTAAGAGTGCACAATGTATAGGCATTTAATTAAAGCAAAGTTGAATTAGACAATGTAAAGTCTCCGAGGAACTTCAACTTCAATCACTAATACTTGCAAAGCCTCCATACATTTGATGCAACAAAATCATTAAAATTGGGATGTTGTAAATACTTTTAAAATTTAGAAAAGCTACCTAATTTAGAGTTTTCAATTTACTATACTTTGTTTATTCGGTTGAATTATTTAATATTTTTTTCTCTAATTCAAAAGGCAGGTAAATGCCAATTATTTCAAAAATAGTGGACCAAGAAGAACAAGTGATTTAAATAAAAGGAATTTGGGAGATTTTGGATTACTTAACAGATCAAGGGGTATTTTTAAAAGTTATGCTGATTGTAGGGGTAAATTTGGCCCGATAGTATAACGAAGGTTAAATATAGACAATATATGAAAGTAGAGGGGTATATTTGACCCTTTTCCCAAAGTAAAATCTATTTAAATGTAAGAGAATTTCCAGCGTTTTAGTATTCCTGAATCTTTAAATTCAAAAACAGTGCAATGTATTAGCAACCTAACCTGTATATACTAGCCTGAAACAATCATAGCACAAGCTTACAGACAACAGGGTCAAACAATGAGGTTAAAAGTTTTAAACTTGTCCATTGCCGTGTTTGCAAATGGCCTACCCCTTCTGTTCAAGACAATTCAAGCTTTGCTCGCAAATGGCATTTCTTTTTTATTCAAAGCTCTATCGCGATAACTAACAAGTGAAATATGGAGCGAATCACAACTCAGTTTTTCTTGCAGCAGTGTGTGTTGCTATGAAGACATACTAGATCATGTAACAGCAGTTTTCCAATTTCTTGTCTTTAATATTTATTGTCACAGAAGTACTCTGAATGAGGCAAAACACTATTGCTTATGCATGTTTGGTCAATAAAATATATCAGTAGCCACAGGAATTAGACAATATTTTGACAACTTTGACATATCAAAACCATCACATCAAACCATACCAAGGCCCAAAAATCAGAAAATTACTAGTTTATACATTGATTGGTCGGATCATACAAACAAATTACAACTGAAAAAAGCATTATTTTCATTAGAAAACAATGCAGCTTTTGCACTGGATTTACATCAGTCTCTTTAACATTAAAACAGAATGAACCGTGAGTTTTACTAGTTCACAAATTTCTAATTTGAACTTTAAAGGGCCTAAAAACAATTGGATCATACCAACAAATTACAACTGGGAAGAGAGCTTATCAGAATAGAAACTGATGTAGGTTTTGCATTAGCCTTTCATCAGTGTCATTATTGTTACAACAGAATTGCAGAAAGAGTTTCACTAGTTCACAATTCTACAGTAGAGAGCCTGAAAACAACTCTCCAAGGAGCTCACATTTCAGATTCAAACCCAATATTCCAAAATCCTTCAGGAGTTAAAGGAGGTGCATACCGGTATCGATGCCTTGAAACTCCATCATGATGCTCACACCGTAGGTTTTGCCTATTACCATTGGAGTCCTTATCTTCACCAGGAAGAACAGCATCATAAAACTTTTTACATTGCTGGCATTCGACCCCTTTTAAATTTTCTCGTTCAGCTTTCTTTCTCACAGGTTCAATGTATTTGAAGCCTGTCGCACCAGACCTGGTTGGAGGCAGCATTTGCTGCTTTTTAGGCCCATTATCTACATTCATGTCCTGAGTTTCATCATCTGAGTTTTCATTTTTTGTGTCTTTGGGATTTGGTTTCGGGTGATTCTGAACTTCATCCTTCATCACCTTTCCTAAGTTTCCTCTGACATTCTCCAGAGGAGTATCAAGAAAATCATCATGAGGATCAGGTCCAACTCGACTTTGATGCGACCTGGTATCCCTCCAATAAGAAACAGGACGCTTGGTACCAGCTGGTGGGCAAGATTTGACATTGGCAGGATTTTTAGGTGCAACAAGGGCACTTGAAATTGGAGGTGAGACAGAGTTGGATCTTGGGATCAGGCTAACTCCTTTATCATTGTCCAGTACTTCATGTTTGTCTTCTTGTTCAAAACCAGAAGCCTCGGGAACTTTATGTTTGACCTCTAATAAAGATGGCATAATTTGTTAGTTTAGCACAATTCCTTTTCCTATTCATTTGGAAATTAAATTAAGCTTAGAATTTGCTAAAACGGAGAGCTTCCTTGTGCATAGGCATATCTTCCGATATAGATAACGAGGAAGAAGGAAAAAGAAGTGGGCAATTACTAGGTGATTGATTACCAAGCATCTTTTCGGGGAGGAATCAAATAGAAGTCCCCTAGGCTAGGAATGACACAGCAAATGCATACATCATGTTGAATAGAGTGTAGAATTAGCTATATATCACAAGCATCCGGAGAGCAATAAGACTTACCACGTGAAGTTAAAGGACTCTGGTCATTCTGTAATGCACTTTGTTCTGATAATTTGCTTTGTAGGTGCATGTTCTCTGAAGTAAGACCATATCTTGCACATAGAAAGTTGTACTGTGATTTCAGACTTTTATAAGATGTAACCATATCCTTTCTTTTATTCTTCTCAGCCAACAACTCAGATTCTTTTGCTTGAATCAGATGGAGTAACTTACCATGTAATTCCATCCCCTCAGAGGAATCCTTGCTTCTCTCTCTCAGATTTGCCTGAAGCTTATCAATCTCTTCCTCCGAGTCTCTCAATTTGGCTAGTAATTTTTTTTTCTCCTTCTCAAGCTCTTCCAACTCCTGCCCTGTCTTTGACCTTTCTAAAGAATACAAATCTATCTGTTGAAGTAACTGATCATGCAACTTCCTTCTCTCCACCGCTTCAGACTTTTTATTCATGAGTTCTTTCTGCAGATCATAAACATCAGTCTCCAGATTCTTTGCTTTGGTCATAAGTAGTTGTTTCTCATTCTTGTACTGATTCAACAAATCCTCATTCTTCATAATTTCTGCGTCCAGCAACTGAACTTTGCTTAGTAAATTTTCTTGCATCTCCAGTCCTTTTTCTACTGCAGCTGTCTTATCTTTAAGTTCCTCTTTGAGTTTATCTACTCTTCTTTGTGTTGTTTCAAGCTCAGCAAGAAGTTTGTCCATCTTTTGTTCATATTCTTTTAGTTGCTTTTCTTTATATGCTGCTGAAGAAGTCTTTGATTGAGCCAACTGGACAAGCTTATTGTGTAACTCTAGTCCACCATCAACTTCCATCGACTTATTCTGGAGTTCTAACTGCAACCTACCAACTTCAAGCTCTGAACTCTGTTGTTTCTTCATAAGGAGGATAACTCTATCTTCAAGTTCTCTCTGTGGGTTCTCATATTTGCATACGAGTGGGGCTCTTGATTCAAGAAGCATACATGATCTCTGGATTGCTTCCCTTAAATTGTTTATTTCACTAGTTCTCTGTTTCAACTCATTTTGGAGTTCCTTAACATGATTAGCTGAGGACAATTCAGAATCCAACAATTTTGTTTTCTCCAATTTAAGAGACTGGTTTTCTTGAAGAATTTTCTGCTTTTCAAGTTGCATATTTTCCATCTGGAGCAACAGATCTTTTTCCTTTTCTTTCCAAGAAGTCTCTGCAGCGTTTCTTGCCTCGGAATATATTAGCTGCAAACTTTGAGATTTAGACTGGTAGTTTGGGAAGAGTTGACTGCAGAATATATACTCTATCTGAGAAATCCTATCTTTTGCTTCTTGGATAGTAGCAACAAGAATGGTACTAAGTCCAGAAACATACTTTGCATCAGCAATATTAGCAGGATATGCTGTCTGGGGAGACTGTTGTGTGTGCTCTGCCATATCTGGAAAAAAATACAAAATGAAATTCTGACATTCGCTATTGTGATTCAACAGCAAAAGAATCCCAATTACTTTACAGAAGGACTTCCCTCAATGAGCTTTACTGCCGTAGCAAAACACTAAATATTCCATATCAAACAATATGTAAATTTCAAGAACTATCTGCAAATCAATCTGTTAGAAAATAATTTCAAGACTTCCTCCAACCATGAAATTCCCCAATATAGATCTATATTCTACGGAGAGCTCCGAAAAGATGTTTTGTGTTTGCTAAGATGGAATACAATTTTCTGAAAATATTTTCCATGAGAAAGTCATTTTCTGGTGTTTTTGTTCCCAGAAACAAGGGCGATATCCAAAGTTGCAATAATTATAGGGGGGTTAAGCTGCTAAGCCATACTATAAAAGTTTGGGAGAGAGTGGTTGAAGTGAGGGTGAGGACCAGTGTGTCCATTTCTGAGACCCAATTCGGTTTCATGCCGGGGCGTTCGACTATGGAAGCCATTCACATTGTGAGGAGATTGGTGGAGCGGTACAGGGAGATAAAGAAGGACTTGCACAAGGTGTTCATTAACCTAGAGAAAGCATATGACAAAGTCCCGAGAGAGGTGATCTGGCGATGCTTGAAGGCTAAAGGGGTCCCAGAAGCGTACATTAAGGTGATTAAGGATATGTATGATGAAGCTAAAACTCGGGTTAGGGCAGCGGGAGGAGACTCAGAACACTTTCCGGTTATGATGGGGTTGCACCAGGGATCAGCTCTTAGTCCATTCCTATTTTCCTTGGTGATGGACGCATTGACGAGACAAATTTAAGGTGAGGTGCTATGGTGTATGTTATTTGTTGATGACATAGTTTTAATTGACGAGACGCGGGGTGGTGTTAACGAGAGGTTGAAGGTTTGGAGGCAGACCCTAAAGTCAAAGGGGTTCAAGTTGAGCAAGACCAAGACAGAATACTTGGAGTGCAAGTTCAGCAACGGTACCCAAGAAAGGGATATGGAGGTGAGGCTTGATACGCAAGTCATCCCCAAGAGAGGTAGTTTCAAGTATCTTGGATCTATAATACAAGGAAACGGGGAGATTGATAAAGATGTCACGCATCATATCGGAGCAGGATGGATGAAGTGGCGGCTCGCTTCCAGTGTCTTGTGTGATAAGAATGTGCCGCTGAGACTTAGAGGTAAGTTCTACAAAGTTGTAGTTAGGCTGACTATGTTGTATGGAACAGAGTGTTGGCCGTTCAAGAACTCTCATACCCAAAAGCTAAAAGTAGTTGAGATGAGGATATTGAGGTGGATGTGTGAGCATATCCGGTTGGATAAGATTAGGAATGAAGTTATTAGGGAAAAGGTGGGAGTGGCCCCTGTGGAGGATAAGATGCGGAAAGCGAGGTTGAGATGGTTCGGGCATGTTAAGAGGAGGAGTATAGAAGTCCCAGTTAGAAGGTGCGAGTGGTTAGCCTCGGTGTGTAGCAGGAGGGGTAGAGGTAGGCCTAAGAAGTCTTGGGGAGAGGTTATTAAGCGGGACATGGCGCAACTGGAGCTGACTGAGGACATGGCCCTAGACAGGAGGGTGTGGAAGTCAAAGATTAGGGCAGAAGGTTCATAGGTAGTTGAGCGTTTCTCTTTTGTCTTACTCAATTCGCTAGTATTAGTGTTAGTATGATATCTTTTATTCATAGATGGTTATTACTACCTAGAGTTTGACTGCATTCTTGGATTCGATCTTATTTCATCTTGTTGTTATGCCTGTTTGTTGCAATTACCTTTTCTTTTTAAGTCGTTCTCTAGCCGAAGGTCTATCGGAAACAGCCTCTCTGCCCTTCCAGGGTAGGGATAAGATTGCGTACATCTTACCCTCCCCATACCCCACTTGTGGGAAACTACTGGGTTTGTTGTTGTTGTTGTTGTTGTTGTTGTTGTGTTCCCAGAAATTTCCAATGAAAAAATTTCCATCAAAATGGTGACTTCCATTAGATATGGATGGAACATTGGGAGTCATTTCCATGTACAAATATTGCGACTCTTACTCCATATCACTTGCTCCAAACAACATTAGACTCTTAATACTCAAAAACTTTTATCAAAACTCTATCCAATTCTCAGACTATATTATCAATCTTTAATAATCACCAACCAAACACTAAAAAAAGTGAGAAAACCACATGTATTTTAGGAAACCATTTTCCCTGAAGTTGATTTTCCTTCATACCAAAAACAACCTTACGAAGCATCCCTTGCTTGATCAGAACTTCCTTTATTTGATATATCCAAAAGTGCAAGGTTGAATTTTATTGCTTCAAGATATATCTACCATGCCAGCATCTGATAAACATGCATAGTTACAAATGCTGATAAAATGAAGATAACAAAAAACCAAAGGCCCACAGATAATTATGACAATTGTATTGCATGGATAGCCTTCTTTGATAAAATGTTTGTCATTTTCAAGGCAAAATGGATAGAAACTGCCCTAGCAAATATTGAAACACAAATTTGCATGACTCTCAACTTATTACCCTTCATTCCAGTTTCTACAAAAGTCACACAATTAAATAAATATTCCACTTGGTTATACTATCAGCAATAAGTAAGTATTCCATTTTACAGCATTATTCTATTTTACCTTCCTCCAGCAGCAATTTCAGATATTCGATTACCATATTACAGTTATGTAGCCATTAACACGTGATAAGCAAATCAAATTTGAGGATTTATTTACGCAGTAGAAACAGACGTGTAGATTGCATTTCGATTCACAGATCGGATTTTAACATTAAATCTCAGCTCAAAAATGAATTAGGGCTTTTCTCGGTAATCTACAGAAGGAGAGAGAATTAATAGACAGAGAAGGGAACTTACAGCTCGGATTCGCCGGGAAAAGAGATCGTCGAGAATTTCGCCGGAGAAGGACGGAGATGAGAAAGCTTGTAGCGTTGGGGAAAGCGGTGTTAGCTTGCCGGAGAAGGAACTCTCTCTGAGTACAATTTTGAAATTGGAGCGGGAATTGTTTTTTGGGTTTGATTTTGGAGTCTATTCGATTGTTGTCCCTCCAACCCGATACAAAAGGGCTGGGTCCGTGGATATCAAATCTATTGGGCCGAAGTGCACAAATCGAAATTCAATTTTTTTTACAAGTTTATAGAGCCATCAATATGGGCTTGGCACGTTAGGGCAGCACAGTCCAGCCCGTAATTTAGCAGGGTTGGGCTAGAATTTTTGGAGCCCGTTTTAAAATGAAGCTTTTAAGCCCGGTCCGAGTAAACCTGTGGCCCGTGAGGTTTGACTGTGGCTGGGCCAGACCGGCCCGTGGGCCTAATAAAAATAGTTATTTAAAATATATAAATTATAAAATGTATACTGCCTCTAGCAATGGAAAGTCAAAATTTGGATCTTTACTTAGAGGAACCAAAACTTGATCTTGAGAAGTTTCAAGAGATGTATTGGAAGGACCATTATAGAAAATATCTCGATCTTTCAGTGATGGGGCGTGATGTACTTAGTTGTAACGACCCGACCGGTCGTTTTGAGTATCACAATCCCATTTCTCCATTTACTGCTCAATTTATGCCTTACAGTTGATTTATGACTTATCGGGTTAGTTGGTTCGGGTCCGGAAGAATTTCAAAGTGAAATGAGACACTTAGTCTCATAATTGAAAACTTAAGTTGAAAAAGTTGACAGTATATTCACTTATGTGTAAACGACCTCGGAATTGAATTTTGATAATTCCAATAGCTCTGTATGGTTATTTTGGACTTAGGAGCGTATCCAAAAAATTATTTGGAGGTCCGTAGTAGATTTAGGCTTGAAATGGTAAAAGTTGAATTTTTGAAAAGTTTGACCGGGGGTTGATTTTTTGATATCGGGGTCGGAATCCGTTTTCGGAAATTGGAATAGGTCCGTTATGTCATTTATGACTTGCGTGCAAAATTTGAGGTCAATCGAACTTGATTCGATATGTTTCGGCATCGAATGTAAAAGTTGGAAATTTCATAATAGACTAAAGTTTCAAGTGAGTTCGCACAAGACCCAAATTTGAAC